ATTGATCTCTGATCCGTTGCCCTCACGCAGGACTATGAGAGTGGATTGGATGTGTGGACATAGGCAACACCGGATGTCCTCACCCATTTTAGCCCCCTATCGAGGCGGTACTCGCGGCGTGCCCGCTTGTTAGAGCCTAGCTTAGATGAACCACAACGGAGAGCGTTGGGTGCTAGCTGTCCAGTACGGTGCTACCGGCACAGTGTCCACAACATTCTGCTAAGTACGCGCAGCGACTTCGTGCTTCTAGGTACGCACTCATCTTTATGTCAATCTACCTTGAGAATTACAAGCCCGAGCCACCAAAGCCTTTAAGTAGTCAATCACTGCCTCAAAAAATATCTTCATTCAGACACACGCACATATGGCCTGCAATTGCTAACTGATGGGCAAATAGGCTCAAAATGATCACTTTTTCGTTCGTCAGTGTATCTTTTAAAGGTTACTTCTGTGGCATTTTTAGCAGAACAATAAATGCATATACTTTATTTGCGCTATGAGACTAGAAAACATGCTCAATAGTTTTCGAAGTAGCTAGTACCCTAGAGGTCTTTTCCTGAAAAAAAATGGAAGGTGAAACACCTACACGTTTAAAGAATTTCACAGTGACGGTGATGTCCATCACCAGGTCGAAGAGGAGCAAAAACTCTCCCCATATAGTGTTTAGTACCGCCATTTGTTCAAAACTAAAGTATTTCCGTATATATTTCATCATTTCACTGAAACTCAAGTCCACATCGAACTCGTGGTCTTCTTTTTCTTCGTCAACTCTGGCGGACGTTGACTGAGCAGGCGGCTCGACCTCATGAATGGGTATGTTCTGCGGGACTACAGTGATTTCCTAAAGAAAGCAACAATCAAGGAATGAGAGTGAGGTTCACTTTACAATTAGCATGATTAGTTTTTAAGACACAGCTGTTTATAACCTAGGTAGTAAACAATTTAAAGTGGGCAAAATACCCTACTCCTGCCTTATTATTTTCCCTGCTATTCAGCATTAAGGTATAGGCATGAGATTGCGAAAATAGTCTATTTCCCTTGAATTCTCTCCACTATACGGCATGCACTAAACAACTCATTCACCAACCACAAGTTTGTCCACGAGGGAGACTATTACGCATATTTATTTTACTAATCGTACTTCGTGATCTGTTACTATTTCGACTAACCAATAGCTTCTCGTTCGCAAGCACACACCCAAGCTCAAAGGCGTTGGCCTATTTTATCTTCAATAAACTGACACTGATAAGAATGCCATGGAAATGTGCCTACATCGTTATCCGTTTTGCTATCGAAGGATGTCGGCTGCGTATTACACTGCATTCCATCCATGAGTGAGATTTGCGGTAATTGGTAGATTTTTCTACAAAAGGCTGGAAGGCAATATGCGTGAAAATGAATGAAGTTCACTATGAAGATGAGATAACTTACCATTTTCACGTTTCCATTCTTTATAATACTGGGGAAGGAGATGCCATAAATGGGCGCATTGGAATCGGCAAACCCATAGCAAAGGGGAGTGGAAAAACACTGTTACAAGAAATGAAGTCAACAACAAACCCTCCTCCCGTAAATGCCTAGGTAA